CCCGGCTAATATATATATATATATATATATATATAATGAATGTCTGTGTGTATGTGTGTTTTACAGACTCCTAATCTTAAACCATCCGACAAAAAGTGATACAATTTGGCATACAGATCTAGTTCGAAACACGGGGAAGGTCACTGTTGTCATTAGAACATTCTACGACGAACCATTCGAGTGGGAAGGATGAAAGACGAAATGGAATATTTTCTGATTGTTTAAGGGTTAGTCATTGTCCTAATTTTATAATTATTTAGTTTATTTTATAACCGTCGTTGAATAGTCGACTGAATTTTCAGTTTACGACCACCAATGATCTACTCCATATCTTTGTAATTTTGATCCCAATCCAGAGGACAAGGAAACTCCTAGATCAAGTATTAGGAGAAATTTGCCTTCGCAGAGGACTTTTTGATGGAACTAACTCGCACTTGCGTTTCATGGAGAGGAAAATCTCCCAAGGTGAGCCTGATGGCAAGGGGACTCTAACCCATGATCCACCTACCACTGAGGATATTTTACGTCAGCACTGAGGTTGATGCAGGCTGGGTGTGAAATTTGAATCGACCAAAAATCGTTGGGATTCGAACCCATTCACCTCATTGAGAGGCGAGAGCTCCTGAGCCACCACGGCTCTAACTATTTCTTAATTGAGTACCTGCACATCAAGAAAACCAATACCCATACATGTGCTCAATGACGTTAGCGCAGTTAATCGTTTATAAGCAAAGTGGTGCGCTAAACTTGAGCTAAGTCTCTCTACATAAGTTAGAATGTTAATTAACGTGAAGTTAGTTAAATATAACGCAGCATCGGGCAACAAATTTGTTGAAATAGGATTCTTCCTCGTATTTTATTTAACTTCGATTTACTATCCGTTTAGGTATTTAATTGTAACAGTGATCTATTTTTGTTTTGTGCATCTGGCAACTTCAATGCATAATTAGTTTGTTTATGTTCCACATGGCTTCATGTCTGCCTTTGTGTTAAGTAAGAAATAACAACGTGTTCGGCGTAGTTTCAGAGCATATTTTTTTTCCAGTGATAATGATAGTTAAAACAACTTTTTCCACCACTAATAAATATTTTAAACAGTAAATTAAAGGCCGATAGAGAAATTATCACTCTCCTAAGTCCTTATCAAGGTCTTATAAGAATTCTTTTGTTTTTAAAATTTTGGCTTTAGTTTGCCACTGATAAATGCATTTCGCACAAAACTGAAACGTTGAAATGTTATGCAATAAGTATCAAACATAATAATGCATGTATAAAATATTATATAGATATATTTGGTAATTATTAAAACTGCACCAATATTAAACAATTTTGAAACCGATTCTGTGGAAATAAATGCCTTACGTCTCTTTGAAAGGGATATGCAGGGGAGAAAATTACTTACTAGTGGCATTTTTTGACTATCATTAGTAGGCCGTGAGCAATATCATGCCAAGTGATGCTAAATACAGAATGGATGCTAAAAATTAGCTGCACCGGAAAGTAATGTCGTTTCGGTGCATTTGATATTTGTTATCAAGATTTTATTTTCAATAAATAATGTATTCACCCTCGTTAGCAACAACCTTTCAATGCAGGATCGAAAATGAATCGAAAAAAGTGAATTGGTTTTTAAAACTAACAAATATTTAATGCTCCGAAACGACATTACTTTCCGGTCCGCCTGATACGAGATGATGAACTTCAAAAAACGTATTTTTCCTAATATAATAACGTAAAGCCATCGAGAAGGATAACAAATATCAATAAATAAATAAAAAAAATACTTTATTTTCACTGATTCATGCATATCCCTAAGATGTCACTTACCTGGTTTTTTCACTACGCACTTCAATTGTGTCTGTATATGCTTTTCAGGTTTTAGCATGATTTCGTAATGTTGTTCAATACTGATGAATTGATATTTTTTATTCACCCCGAACGAAGAACGGGTATTCAGTTTGTACGTAAATATTAAAGCCTCAATCTCACGCATATCCATTCTTTGAACCACGTATCGCCCTAAATTTCAAAATCATTCAAATATTGCGTAGCTTTTGAGGGGGGAAAGGGGTTTGCGATTTTCTAGTTTTGCAGAAAAGGAGGATTATGTGCTATGTTTAAGTAAGGCACTAATATATATACAAAAATATATATACACAATATAATATATATACACAAAAAAATTTTATAAAAAATTACATTTGGATAATTTTTAAACATGACATAAAAGTTGTTGAGAATTCGAAGAAAGATAAAGTAGGAAAAAATTTCTTCAAGGAGTTAAAGAAGTTAAGATTTTTGACTACAAACGAAAAAGACAAAAGATTCCTATAGAATATTCTATTCAAAAATTTTAGAAAATAAATTTAAATTTTAGTATAATTTAAAGAAACGTCTCTGATTTCAATTTTATCCTAAAATTAGATTACTACAGTATGAGTGAAAATTAAGCAAAAAACAATAGGTAGGGTGATTGTGCCTTTTAGATCTCAGCTTAGAAGCATCTTAATTAATTAATTTTTGAGCAGAAGGGTGGAGAAAATCCAACATTACACACACACAAACAAACGAAAAACATGTTTAAGAAATATTTGAACGACCTTTTTATTGGTTATAAATTTTTGAATACAGCTTATTTGAAATTTAGTAGTTAAAATTTGTATTTTATTTCCTTTTAACTCGAAAGATAAAAAAGCGGCGATTTTATTGGTTAAAAATTTTTGAATGCAGCTTGTTTGAAATTTAGTAATTAAAATTTGTATTTTATTTCCTTTTAACTCGAAAGATAAAAAAGCGGCGATTTTATTGGTTACAAATTTTTGAATGCAGCTTATTTGAAATTTAGTAGTTAAAATTTGTATTTTATTTCCTTTTAACTCGAAAGATAAAAAAGCGACGGTCAGGTAGTGGGTTAAAGCTTATGGTTAGTATAACACTAAACTTGCTCTAAGAAAACAAACTTTTCTGAATTTTTTCACATTAAAAGTTTTTTTGGGTTCTGAGATACGTTCAAGGTTACAAGTCAAAAGAAAAAAAACATAAAAATAATAATAATCATAAATTTACTATTTAAGAATAGAATTTTTTTTTAAAAAATGTATTTTTATATTAGAGGAACCACAACGGCAGCCATCATGTTTATCAAGTTGATTTCCAGCATTAATCTCTACTGAAACAGTCGAATTTTGAGTATAAATCTATCTAAGAAAATAGTTTTCCATTCTTAAAATGTTGTTTTCAAGTTAATATAATAATCAATTTTGACCGTTGCTTAATAATATTAGTCAGATCTCCGAACATGCTAAAATTACTGATGTAACTTTTTAAGCATGAATCGCTCCTTTTCAATTTGACCTGAATAATTATAATTAGTCTAAGCATGTGCCTATTCTAGCCTCAATCAGCCAGGTTTTTTAGTGCAGGCCTTAGTTTTGAAGTTTATTTATTATTGAAATGTATTCATGACAAGGACATATCCTTTCCTAAATTACTATTTTCTAAAGTATTCAGATGTTTTTTTTTTTAAATTTTAAACTTTTTTATAATTTACAACAATTTACAATAGTTTTGTCAAATTTACAATTCAATAAGCTGTCACGTATGCATAACGCATTATATTCGAAATGGCCTACATTTTAACATTCTAAATTTTGTAAAGTAAAATATCTTATAGAATATTTTAACTAATTTAAATTATATGAAAAAAATTGAATTATTCTTGCATTCATTTAAAATATATTTTTAAATCCATTCTAAATTATTTAATATATATTGCTAAATATGTTTCATTCGATATTTTCTATTAAATATATTTTACGTAATATATTTTAACACAAAAACCAAACTAATGAAGCATAATAACAAATATTTTAAAAAATATATTTCCTTCGATTTATGAAGTTTTACACGCAAACTTGAAATCAAACCTCACTATTCCATTTCCCTGAAAAATAAGCATTTAAGAATTCTCTAACTCAAACGACCCCGCGTTTCAGGAAAGATAGAAGAAAAAATCATCTCCTGTAAGATAACTCCTCCTCTGCGACGTTCGGAACACCCCTCTGTCTGGTAGTGGTGTCGTCCACATCTTTTCAGCCGGTTGTCCCCCGACTCCTCTCTCCTCTCTCTCTCTTTCATCCTCATCCTCTGTTCTGTCTTCTCTGTCTCGTCATAAACAAATCCTCATTTTATTATTATAGTTTGCAGTTCTTCGTCTCTGTTCTTTGCTTGTGGATTTGAATTTTGTGAATATCTTATAAGGATTATTCTCATCTCTACATCTGTGTTCTCACATTTACGGTTAGAGTGAAAGAACGGATTCGTCCCGTCCGGAAGATGGGAAGTGACTGGTTTTGGAATGTGAATAGTCGCCGGCATTAATGAATCGTTCGATTTCAGTTTTTAAAAAAAAGTTTATTTTTGTGTTCGTATCGATGAGCGGAAGTGCTAGGAATGAGCAAAGAAAACGTTCCTTCCGGATCCTATGGCAGACGATCTACAATCCAGAGGCAGACGACGAATGAACAGAATGTGGTTTCCTGTTGACAGAACGTTCCCCAAAGAATGCCCGGAGTGTGTTAATGAAGGGGTGCGAAGTGGAAGAACAATGTTCTTCGCACGAGGGGCAGATCACCCCAACCCTTTCATGCCACTTCCATATCCACTAATATCGCCGTTACTCCGCAAACTTAAGAATATTACACACTGGAATAATAATTTCCAGCGGAAAAATGGAACAATTTATAGGTAGGCCTCGTTCTTTGTAGCTTCTTAGTAGAAATAAGAACAGGACGAAAATTAAAGGCCCACTTTTTTTCGGATTTAACTAACTTTTAAGAAATTTTTTCCTACATTTTGAATGTGATACTGCAATTGATAAATAGTGTAATGATAGATTTTTTTCCTTAAGCCTAATGAAGACTTATTGATGGGGTCCAAAAACTGCACACGAATTTTTTTTAGAAATAGAATTGATGATCAAATGAACTGAATGCCTGTAGAAATGTCATGAAAAAGCCATGAAAAAAATTCCACTACCTGCTCTTCGTGGACCACGAGAAGCGAGAGGCATCGTCAAGTACACGCCCTGTTCTCCCCAGGACATGCAACTAGACGACGATTTGGAAGATATCGCGATCGTAAGCAACGCGGCACCAGAGAGTGTCAAGTATGGAAGTGGATCGCTGACGGCCAACGGCCCGCGGGTCGTACCGGGCATCATCACGACGACCGGTAATGTAGACCGATTGCAGAATGCGGGCCGCAGCGTCAGCAACACACGCATCCAGACAGCCTCGCCTGCCTTGTATGGGACCAAGTCCACTGAGAACCTCAAGTCCGGCTCCAGACAATCATTGCTGGAGTCTGTCAGCAACCGTTTCCTTGGAACAACAGGATTGAAGAGAAGATCCAGGGACTCCACGATGGCTTTTGTGAACAGGGCCCACGTCAGTAGTGACCTTGATATGTCACGAAAGACCAGGGACCAGAGACGGAAGAGTGACAAGCGTGAATCCTCTACGTCAGCTGGCAGTGCTGACAGACCAAAATGCAATTGGTCTTTTGTGTTCGATCCTGCCGGTAGGCTGTCCTACTACTGGTCGGTGGTAGTCAGCATAGCTTTCTTATATAACTTCTGGGTAATGATATACCGTTTCGCCTTCCAAGAGATAAACAGGTCCACCATCGGCATATGGTTTACATTCGATTACCTGGCGGATCTGCTGTATGCTCTGGACGTTGGTTTCCATTTCCGAACGGGATACCTTGAGGAAGGTGTGCTACAGACAGACACAGTTAAACTGCGCACCAACTACATGAACTCCAGCATGTTTTACATCGACTGCTTATGTCTTCTGCCGTTGGACGTCCTTTATCTATCCATTGGTTTCAATTCTGTCCTACGTTGTTTTAGGCTAGTGAAGATCTATCGTTTCTGGGCCTTCCTCGACAGGACAGAGCGCCACACAAACTTCCCAAATGTGTTCCGGGCCGTGAACCTGACCCACTACGTTCTCGTCATCTTTCACTGGAATGCTTGCCTATATCACATCATCGCGAACAATGGTGGTTTCGGTTCAAGTGATTGGTTCTTTCCTAGTGATACTCACTGTAAAGACGATATGTGTAAATACCTGCATGCCTTTTACTGGAGTGTACTCGCCCTCAGCACAATAGGTGATTTACCCAGACCCAGGACTAAGGGCGAGTACTTTTTTCTCATCATACAACTCATATCGGGTCTATTCTTACTCGCAGCGGTACTCGGGCACATATCGAACATTGTCACCAACATCAGCTCTAGTAGAAAAGAATTTCAAGGTAAAGTGTGCATTTTTTATATCACATTATATTAATATAGGGTGAGTTTTTATCCAATTAATGTCCAAGGTACGATTCTCAATGTTTGTCAATGTATATGTTCATCGTTAAATATGTGGATCTCTTTTAGGTATGATTCTCAAAATGTATCGAATCACTGTTTCAAAATGCGCCGAATTCACGGTCTTTTTTATATACATGTTAATAAGAAGGCATCAAAAGCTCATATGAATTAATTTTATTAAAGGCAACATTAATTAATTGTTTTTAATATTTGCTTTTTTTAATTTTCCAATCTTTCTTTCATTTTATTAAATTTAATTCATTTTAATGATTTTTAAAAGAAAAGAGTTGAGTTTAAGTTTAAGTAGTAAACTTTCCAAATAATTTCTTTCTTCAACATTTAATAATGACATGCAAAATATTATTGAAAAATTGTGACTGGGGCTCTAATGGCATAGTATACATGAAGCGTTTTCATGATATATAATTATTTTAAAAGAATTAATAACAGGTATGTGTAAAAAAATCTAACAGACCTGCTGAAAAAGGTAAATTTAGCTAAATTGAAACAAACAGAAAGGCATAAAATATATTTTATTTCCGCTTTCCTACTCTAGCTTGCTTACTCATTGATTTTATGCATTTGCGATCTTAACTGACATTCATAATCACTAAATTTTAAACAACATTTTATGAAATTGTTAAATGCGTAATTGTCAATCAGTACCAAGTTACAGAAAGTGAAATTTAAGAAATAAAAAAGTAATGGTAAATTTGTGAACATTTTTAAGTTTAGTTGGCTTACACATTCACTTCAGGAGATTTTTAAACCCAATATTATTTTTAAGTTTTAAAAAATTAAAATAAAAAACTCCTGAAATGTTTTTTTTTCGTTATTACTTTATTATTATTATTTTTCAATTACCATAAAAACTTCTGGTGTTTATAAATTCTGGTAATTCTAGTAAAATATAGTTGGTAAATTCTGGTGTTTATAAAAAAAATAAATTTTAAAATATAAAAAATATTATAATTATTAAATCTAGTATTTGATTTTATATCGTAGAATAAAAGATTATTAATATTTCTAGCAAAAAAAAATTTTAACATTAAAATTTTTTTCCCTGGATTTTACTTTTTCGTCAACTATTTTTTTAATGCTTTTCACTCTCTATAACCACTTTGATTTGCAATTAATTTATAGTTTAAATTTTATTTCTCTAAATTTAATATAATCTTATTAATTATTTCACCATGAACCATCTAATTAAAGTTATAACTGTTCTGAAAATTCTACTTTAGTTGAATAATTATGCCTATTTTACCTTATATCCTGTTAATAATATAATTCACTGGATCTAAAGCCAAATTATTGAAAACAGTTGTTTACATGTTCATTAAATAGGATGTTTACTTAAATAAAAAAACGTTTAAAGTATAATTTGATACCATCGTTATCTGTCAAAATACTTTATAAACGTATAATATTTATAAATAATAGTTTTAAAAAAAGATAATTAGTTTTCTTTTATTTTATTTGAAAAACCAAAATTACAATCTCGTCAGAAACTTTTTCAATAAAGAAAAAATTAAAAGGAAACATTATTGATAATATGGAATAAAAATTTTTAAAGAAATATGCGGATATGCTTAGATAGAAAAGCAGTTTTTAAAATAAATTTGCAAGAAAATTATTTTCTCAAATTAAAATCATAAAATTTATGACTTTAGTAGATTATAAGGATTAGAGGATGGGGTTGCATAGTATACCAACAGAGGAATTGTTAGATTATTCTTAGGTCAATCTTCAGAATATTTTTGGCGGTATCATGATCAATCATCAGCTGTTTTTTATTTGTACTTTTTGTCGATTGCTATTGCCCAAAACATTTCGATTAAATAATTGTCTTTTAATCGCCTCTTTTTTATCGAAAATATTAAGTTGATTAATATTACTTATAAGTAACACACACATATGCATATATATNTATATATCAACGTAGAATCAAACGTCATCGTATATTTTGAAAATGCTTTTCACGTGTTAAACATTAATCAAATGCAGAACTGCTGAAAAAATATCATTAATTTATCCACTTTTAAAGTATGATTTGTGAAACGCTGAAAATATAGCAGAGATTAAAAGTTTGGAAAAGTAAAAAAGAGTTTACCTTGAATACTTAAAAAAAATCTCTTTTTTAAACAACTGTGACAAAAATCTTCCTATGAAAATGTTAAATAGGTGTGTTTTGTACTAAAAACACATTACCAATGCATAGAAAAACAAATGAATCGGAAATATTTGAATTTTGTCACTTGATTTGGTTTTATATTACCAAAACTTGCTCTATATATTTGTAATAAACAGAAAAAGTAAATAATAAAAATATAAAATAATAATATGAAATAATAATGATATGAAATAATAATAACGTAAAATAATAGTATAAAATAGTAAAATAATAGTATAAAATAGTAAAATAAAATACACACTGAATATCAATTAGCTTAAGTGATTGGAAAGTGCACTTTATGCTTATTAATTATTAAAGTGAGTAATAATTTTAGTAATGAAAATAGACTTAAAATCACACTTTCACAAATAATACCCTTTTCTATCAAAAGTTTTTCTTAGCCCTTACAGCATAAGGATATAATGGTTCTTTAAACAAATATGGTCTAATAGTCAAATTTTCTATAGCGGTCAATTTTTTAATTCCTTTTATGGTATTTTTACTATTTGTGTATTTTACCAAATCCTTAAACATTTCTCTCGAATTAAAGAATTTATGCAGTCATTCATTACACTTTGTAGAAAATTGTACAGGATAATTTTATACAAAATTGATTTTAATAATTATATACTACTTTTTGTTAACTCGTTCATTAATTTATAAATTTTGTATAACACGACATTCAGCACTTTCTTTAAATTATATAGTTCTACCTGACAAAATCCAAAACCTTAAGTAAATTGGTTAAAAAGATGTCAAGTTTTAAAATTTATAACACAGCATTTTGTTCAAAAATAAAATCTTTACTTAATTTTGAAATTCTTTTTTTAGATTTCGCCACTCGTTGTTGATTTAAGAGGGTACCTGTTTACATCAAATAATTTTTAATCATATAAATTAATGGAAAATTGCAAAAGTGTAATTTTTCCCTTACATTTTCACAGTTTTTAATTATTACCGTGAGTAATTTTTTCCAAATATATACTAATGAAAGTAAAAAGCAACAATAACACTAATAGAGTTCAAGCAGTTGACAGGTTTTCAGCTCAACTCTTGCTGCCAAATCTTTCAGGGTAGTATCCCGTAAAATAAGGGGTCAGGAATTTAAATCCAATGAAAAAAATTATATGTTTATTTAAAGAAAGCATTCTTTTTGGTAGTATGCTCTAAATTATCTCTTAAATTACTTATCACTAAAAGCAAAAGCACTTTAAAAAAATACATTTCAAACTAATTTAAATAGAATTATTAATTTAAGATGATTTATAAAATCTTTGAATTTGGTAGAAAGTATAAAAGTTACTCTAAGAATTCTAATATACTGCTCTAATAATACGAAATACTCTAAGAATTCTATTCTATTCTTTTTAATATGAGCATTAAGCTAGATAGTTCATTGTTCAGAAAATCAGGTAAGAGTTGTAAAATATTTATCTCTATGGAAACTTCTCTTTTTATCTATAAACTTGTTGCTTTTATCGCCTTGGTTACAGATAAATACTTAGCGTTCACTTTCCTTAACAAACACTCCTTTCATTATTGAACTTAGATTATTTAAAATTCTATATTATTGGAAATTTTTAAGTGCGTTGAACCATAATATTGTTCAAATATACTGCAATCTTAATGTGGAGTTGAGTTGAACCATATTATCTTCAAATAAATCTCTCTTAAAATTTATTACTCGGTGCTATGGTTCAACTTAAACGTCAGCAATTAATTCTTCTTAAACTTACACGATACTGTGGATCAATTTAAGAGTCTGCAGCTAACTCTTCTTAAAATTTTTTGCACGATACTATTCAAATTAAACGTCAGCAATTAATTCTTCTTAAACTTGATTACACGATACTGTGGATCAATTTAAAAATCAGCAGCTAACCCTTCTTACATTTTTTACACGATACTATTCAAATTAAACGTCAGCAATTAATTCTTCTTAAACTTGATTGCACAATGCTATGGTTCAACCTAAATGGAAGGATGATACAATTTAACAACTTATTAAACTTGCCGCAATTTCGCTCTATATTAAGGTTCAAGATGCTGAATCTTTCCTTTTTCAAAAAACATTAAGATCGCAAACTAAACATCGAACATTAAAAAAAAAAAAAAAAAAATCGCTCCTTTTTGATACATTTCTACAGAACATTAAATGTGCTTTCTTGTCTGCCGTATCAGTTTTTAATAATCGTTAAAACTTTCCTCTCTTAAGTGATAATTTGCTACCCTTAATGTAGGAACTTTCGACAAATATATATTAAAGTTTGCAATAGAGGAATAACTTGTTTATGAATGTAATAAAAATAATAATAATAAACCGGAATTCGAGCAACATTTTAAAACTTTTATTTCTTTGCAAGCAGATTAAATTTCCAGCACTCGTGGATTCACCAAGCTTATTGAAGTGCAAGCGAAACAAACTCTCTAAGCAATAATTCACAAAAGAATACAAAATTGGAATCAGGAATTGTTCGAAATAACGTGGGGTTGCTTTAAAGTGTTTATTGAGAGAAAAGAATGTATCAAGGAAGTGAAATCGAAAATGCAAAAGCGAGTATTTGTCGTGAGAAATTTCACGTTTTATATATCCACGTTTCGCATATTTCATACCACATTTTCCATAACAATAGATTTAAGCAAAAAAATATTTCGAGATCAAGGGGGAATATACAAAATAAAACCATCTTCTTACAGACTCATAATAATATATCTCTGTCTGGGAAAAAGAAAGATTTGAATTTTAGCTCCATTAATAAATTA